CTTTCCTCTTATCTTTCTGTTTTCCTTATCTGGCATGGTCAATAGCAAATATGCCATGAACTGTTGCTGAACATAAGTGCACACTCAGTGACATGACCAAACATCTCTAAAAACCATTTACAGTAGACTTCCAATAATCCGGAACCTATGGGACCTAGGTGGTGCCGAATTATCAGATATGCCGGACTATTAGGAGGTACTATAAGATGGTTTTATATATATATATATACTGTATACATTATATACTGTATATAAAGTGTTCTTAACCCTTTTTATTGTACTTCCTGTATACAGTATACTGTAATATTTTAGTTTTTTAAAGCCTTTTTTACCCTTTTTGCTCAGTTCAGCTGCTGCCGCTGTTACCTTGTGACTCATTTTTTGCTGAAGCTCACTCACTAGGCTCTTGCCATTTTGATGCTGGACTATCAGGAGTGCCGGACTATTGGATGCCGGACTATTGGAGTTTTACTGTACCTTGCTTTAGAAAATAGACTTCAAGCTAACTGCTCTATTGAATAGGATGCTTGATTCAGACATGGAAGGCATGACAAGATGGAGAACATGAAATGCTAGAACACCCCAGCAGAATCATACCAGACAACTAAAGGAATAGCAAAATGCAGAAAACAGGAGTTGGAAAAGGAGAGTAGCATCAAGGCATCTGTATTGTGTTTGGTAAGTAACAAGGCTTCTCTGAGGAGCTTTAACGACCATATGATTAGCCCCACTGGAAATCCACACTACACCAATTCATTAACTATATATTTCATTATAGTGTAATGTACTATTTGCGCACACGCATACACACCACCTTGTAAGGAGGACAATGACATGTCTACATGGGAACACTCGGCAAAATTACACAAAATTAACTAAAGGGATCAATTTAAAAAGAATTTTTAAAGTGCATTACAGCTGTGTGGATGAGCTCATTCAGAAATAAAGTGGCCTTAGTTTAATTCCCTTTGGAAGTGAATTGAACCGGCCTTCATTCACTTCACCTTAACTAAGAATGACAGTGTTCACAAGGCTTAATGAGCTTTTAGCTAATACATTTTAAGTTCAACTCTTAATTAAAATGACTGCTCCTGAGTGTTGCCATGTGGATAGGCCCCAAGATAGAACAGGAATTCAGATGTCTCAGTTATAAAAAATTATGATTGTTTTCATTTAATGATTATGTCCCATTCTCTCTCAGGTTTAGAAAAGCTAGGTATGAAAAAAATCAGTGCAAGTTCCAGGGTTGAGGAGAGAGAGAAGATGGTAGTAAGGGAGATGGAAGGACTGAACGTGAAACCTTAGAATTTGAAGCCTTATTTTCAACATAAACAGAAATGACAGAAAATATTTAAAATTAAAATGTCCACTATGTACACAACCACAAGCACACAAGAGGAATCAGGGCTAAAAATAAAAAAAAATAAAAAAAATCAAGTGATACTTCATAAACAGAACTTTAGAAAAAAATTAAGATAACTAAGAAAGAAGGGCTTGCAGACACAGGAAGTTATACCACCATAAACTCCCTGTTCAAGATGCAAAAGCCTATTTAACTGGTTAAACATTGTTTAACCGATCAAAGGGGAGGATGGGCAGGGGGCTGCTTCAGCCTGGCTGGAGCAGTCTGCCCACCCACTGTTGGGCTGTTGAAGTGCTCTCGCTCCACAGTAGGCAGGGGTTGCACTAGCTGGCCTGGGGCAGCCCCTGCTCTGCGGGGCAACCGGGCCCGCTGTGGACAAAAGCTGCTCTAGCCGCAATGCCCGAGCAGCCCTTGCCTGCAGTGGGCTAGGGTGCTCTGCACGCAGGGGCTGCTCCAGCATAGCAGACTGCTAACCCTGCTCTAACCCCCACTAGTTAAACATTCACATCACTATTCTCTGTGTGGGCACTTACTCCTGAGTAAAAGTGTCTTTTTCCTATTTAGTGTGTGTCGTTTTGGTATCATCATTCTTGTAAAGTTCCTTGCATAGACAAGTCTTAAGTTAAAAGACACCTGAATTTCTTTTAAATTCAGGGTGTCTAGTAAATCTTAGTAACACAATGGGGCTGAAACAGACAATACAAAGCCATTCTGTTTCCCTTAAAGAAATCAGTTCTATTGTTTTCAGATCTTCTATAGTATTGTTCCTCAGTCATCTGGGCCAAACTGCTTACATTTTAGTTGATGGTTCTAAATATCTCATTAGAATCTTAGAATTCAACTATTGTGGATATATCAGTTTAGGTGTCAAAATATTTTACTACAGACAGATCTTGACAGCCAATTTAAAGAAAGTAATTAAAAGTTTGCAGAGAAACCTTGTTATTGGGATATCACTTCTGAGCAGACATTAAGAGCATTTACTGTTACTTTAGGATAGTGAGATCTGACAGACATTTAAAATGTTCAGGCTTCAGCTGTTACAAGGAAGCACTGTATCTTCCAAATATAATGGCAGCAGCTTTCCAAGCAGGCTTCCATCAACAAAACGACAAGTTAAAAAGTCAAACAATGACACCCCGAAGGGGGGAAAATATTTAAAAAATAAAGTTTAGCTCTGGAATTTGAAGTCAAAACAGTTAATGCTCAAAGAAAAATTATCGTTAGTTGGCCAAAAAGTTTCTTAAACTCATTGATGCCATTTTCTCATGCTCATAAAACCATAGAATACGTATAAAAATCACCATCTCTGGCTGAAAAGAAACAGTGTTATATTACTGAGGCTAATGACTAACATACCCTAATAACCTACAGCACAAAAATATTTTCACTTAAGTACTGAATAATGGTTATGCGATTCCTGTAATCCAAGTCATAAGACCACAGAGGGAATGAGTTCAATTTCCAAAGAGAAAGAAGAGGTTCTTTAAAAGTAATTGTCCAGGGAATTACAATTTATCTAGGGTAGAGGGAATGGGAAGCATGAAACTTTGCTTCAGAAGGAACTATATCTGCTTGATTTCTTAAAAGTCTTTAGTCATTGGAAATGACTAATAGAAAAGCTGCAAAAACACACAGAAATCTACATGATATGTACAAGAGGAAAGCATCTGCACATTGTAGTAATTTAAAAGAAAAATCAGAGCTGTAAAATGACATTGTGAGAATGTCTGTCTCTAGGCAAACTGAAATACACTTTCAGGTAAAAAACTTAAGTCCAACACTGCATTGCCTGGCCTCAGAGCTACACTTGAGATGTATTTCCCCTTCCTACCCACCCCAGCTTCAATGTAACAAACTTTATTTGGAAGTTTCAATAAAGTACCGGTAAGGCAAAACATCACTTCACTATTCCATTAATGAGAAGCAGATTCATTTTAGAGCTGATTAAATCAGAAGCTAACTATTTCAAGGATGGCATAGCACTCATGTATGTAGTTGCTTAACTACTTATCATACAACCTACTCAGATTATGGCATGCTTGAAAATACAAGATTTAGCTATAAAGCATTATATTCCTGTCTGACTTTTTCTGGAAATATGTACTGCATTTAATACTGTAAGACTGTATACAAAACCTTAATATTTCAATTAGAATTACAGTTTAGTAGAGTATCTTCAAGACTGAGTTATCGAGAAATAATGGCCACTGTACCTTTTTAGTACATCAGCCTTGAGAAAGCAATAATGCTCATATCTCAACGCTTGAGTGTTTTGAAGCTGAAATAGCATTCACCTTCTCTCATCATTCTCCTTACCTCTGGGAGTCAGAAAATTTAACAAATTACAGCATTTTAAAAATTATTTTTGCACAATCTGGTTTCAGTTTTGCATACCAGGGACCAGATCCCGAGCTACTTTAATTCTGCATAGATTCATTGACTAATGGAGCTGTTACATTTTATGCCACATGAAGATATATCTTAGGGTATGTCTACACTAGCCCCCTCATTCGAACTAGGGAGGCTAATGTAGGCATTCGAAGTTGCAAATCAAGCCCGGGATTTAACTATCCCATGCTTGATTTGCATCTTCCCGGCCAGTCGCCATTTTTGAAATTAACAAGTCCGGACTAACTGCCTGCATCTACACGTGGCAGGGAACCAGGCGTTTGATTTAAAGCCCCTAAATCGAACTAACTGTTATCCCTCCTGCAAGGAGGTTTACCAGGTAGTTCGATTTAGGGGCTTTAAATCGAACGCCCGGTTCCCAGCCGCGTGTAGACGCGGGCAGTTAGTCCGGAGTTGTAAATTTCAAAAATGGCGACTGGCCGGGAAGATGCAAATCAAGCATGGGATAGTTAAATCCCGGGCTTGATTTGCAACTTCGAATGCCTACATTAGCCTCCCTAGTTCGAATGAGGGGGCTAGTGTAGACATACCCTTAAATGGTCAGCAACCAAATACACCAACAACAAGGTACTCTATAAATACTACTCTTTTCTCACGTCCCAAATGCATGTGCCAGCATTTCAAATATTAATAACTAGTTTGCACTATGGTATTAATATACACTTCTTCACCTATACAAAGATTATAGTCATCTAGTTGTAACTAGTTGATACAAAGGGACAAAGTTTAGAGTAGATTTTCAAAGGCAAAAAGGGAAGATAGGTAATCAGGTCTCATGGATTTCAAGGTGAGCCAGGCACCTACCTATCCAATGTGCTTTTGAAAGCTCCTCTTCAGTATTAGGTATCAGTCTATATTTACATCACCACAACATAAGCCAACTGATTACCAGCTATGGGATAGCCAAGTGAGAACATCCAAGCAGGCACAGGTCATTGTGTCAGCTTGCAATAGTAAAATATTTACACTACAATGAATACTTTTTCTTCCCTTCATTCCATGGTATTGTGCAACATCATGAAGCAAATGATTCTACAAGGAGCATATCAGGTCTAAGGCTTTTCTTAGTGAATCAGAAGTACTAGATCTAAGAAACTATCAAGATATGAAAAAGCTATTAAGTTTGTTTTACAACCCCTCACACCTTTGCAATCATTCATGGCATATTATGACATTGTGTAGTTGACCAGGAAATGCTAAGTTATTAAGTAAGCTTTTACAGTACCTTCGATGAAATCGTTTTCATTATAGAGCTGTCTCTCTCCTATTCCATCATCATCATCTTGTCCATCTTCTTCATCTGGATTATTGATTACTTCTAGGCCAGCCTCAATAACTTCCACCAACTCATCTCGCTTATCCTTTCTAACAGGTTTCTCCTCTGGGTGTCGAGTGAGCCCCATCTCCAACTGGAACACTTTCATAGAGGTAAAGCTTTCAAAGGGAACAACACCATATTCACTAGGAAGCTTGGCCCCGATGCTCACTTCAGCCTTATCTATTTGGGAATGAAGAAACTCTAGGAGATCATTGGATGCTTGTCCTTTGGTGCCTTGGTAGCCCATGCCATTGACTTTGGGGCTCTTTTTTTCCTGTAGTATTTTCAACTTCTCACTCATTTCTTGAAGCTCTTGTTTTAGCTGTGCAATCTGACGCTTCAGACTAGTAGCCCGGGTTTGATAGTGTTCTTCTTGTTCCTGTAGGAGAGCTTGGTAATATTCTTTACCCAAGTTCTCCCCTACAATGCCAGGCGGAGATCCATTGCCATCTGTTTGTGGAGCACACTCAAACAAGTACACGAACAACATTAAACTGAATAGCAAGGCAAGACCCACGAACAGCCAACGGGTCCTGGCTTGAAATATTAAACCTCTTCTGGGCATTCTTATAAGATTTTGGGTCCCGCACCAAAAAGCTGATTTTCCTTTTCATACCTTTCCAAGAGCATCCCCACAAAAACTTTTAAAAGGGGAATTAAGCCATGATTTTCTTAACAGTCACATCAAGTTCTGGCACACACACACACACACACACACACACACACACACACACACCCAAAAAAGGCAGCTTTCAGCATGTGTCTTAATCATGTGATATTGCAGAGAAAGTCTAAAATAACTCTAATTTCCATGATGAAGAACAGCAAAATGTAGTCTACGCCATCAGATACAATGCTCATAATATTCTGGTCACTTATCCAAAACAAAACAGAAACATTGTGAATCCTTGGTGACTTTTTCCTGTATTTTAAATTTCTTAAAAGCAATAGTTAATAGTTTTTAGTTTGAAGTTCTTCACAATGAAGAAACCTCACAAACACTGGAACAGGTATGCTTATGGTGCAGAGCTTTTTTGCACACACTCATTTATATGCCGCAGGAGCAGTCTATACCTTTGTAACAGTAGTTTTCATTGGACAGTTTGGTATTTTCCTCTGGCACTTGATAATTGAGTATTTTATTCCATTTCTCCCCTTCTTTGGGATTCTGTGGTTTGAGTCAGCAATACCAACACAGAACCTAAAATTAAGTAAAAGGTGCACATTAGAATTACAAAGCAGCCAGACAGCTGGAAAACACATGAAGGAAATGTTAACATCCAAAAATGTAGACATGATGGATTAATTTTTTTTTTTTAAGTTGTAAAAATCTCATAGTTCTTTCCACTGTGTTACACATGAATGATTGCTTTCTTACGGAAGTGTCTGGGGTATATTAATGAGAACAGCTGAATGAGACGTAACTTTTTCAAGCAGATAATTTATATTATAAGAATTCTATCCCAGCCCTATTGTGTCATTTCTAAAGACCCTCTTCTAGCCATTTTTTTTAATAGTACCAAAAAATATTTAACCTCACTGCTTGAGCACAACAAAAATAGTTACTTACCTTTCATAACTGTTGTTATTTGAGATGCTTTGGTTATGTCCAACAAATGCAGGGGGTATTGATGGAGTATCTGGGTCCTATAGTCACTGCTATAAAGGTGCCACTCCAAGGCGCCCCTTCTCCCGCCTGATGAGTCAGGGCGCCCCTTATCCCTCCTGCCCCGGGACCGCCCTTCTGTTGGCCGTCCCATATGCACCCTCCCCTCCCCTCCCCAGGCGAGCACCCTATCCCCTAGGCCATGCCGGAACCCGCCCCACCACCTTCTGGGAAAAACCTTCTGACTGTTGTGCACATGACACACACATCTAATTTGGAATGCACATGAGCAACACATCTTGAAGAACAAGAGTTAAAGATAGGTAACTGTTTTTTCTACAAGTGCTTTCTCATGTCAGTTCCAAGTAGATGACTCCCAAGGAGGAGTCAGTGTTCACAGTTACAAGACTGATGCGCAGTTGTACCAGACAGCAGCATCTCTAACCTTGTGGAATGTACTGTCAATAGAGGGGCTAGTATCTTTGCCAAGTCAGAGTGTGTCCTTATACAAGCTGTGATCCAAGAAAAAATTATTTGGGATGAAAGTGGAAGGCCTTCCAACCTCTCAGCAATGGCAACAAAGAGTTTCTAAATGGCTTTTTGTCTCCTCAATGTAAAAAGTTGGCATGCACCTAACGTCCAGGAAACAGAGGTGCACTCCCTGTTATAGCATGCAGACTAGCGTAGAACACCAACAGAACGATGTCCAAATTTGAATGAAACTGCAACACTAACCTTGGGAGGAAAGAGTCTTTAAAAAAGATGATAAAGGGGTGCAGACATCAGAGATTGAGCTAACACACTTCTGGCTGTTATAACCACAAGAAATGGTTAAATGTCTCAGAGGGGTAGCCATGTTAGTCTGTAACTGAAAAAAACCCTTAAAAACACAAGTGGTCCTGCAGCACCTTAGAGACTAACAAAAATGTAGATGGTATCTTGAACTTCCATGGCTGGCTCATGATACCATCTACATTTCTGTTAATCTCCAAGGTTCTGCAGAATCACTTCTCGTGTTTTTAAGTTTTTTCACTTGGAATGACAATTTCCAAGAAAGGTAAAGCCGGGAGCACATTGTTAGGAGCTTGAAAGGGGAACCCATGAGTCTGGAGAACACCAGATTAAGATCCTATGGAGGTGACTGACTAACATCTTGAGGAAGTGTCTGGCCATATGGTCAGTAAATGCTGACTGCGCTGCATTTACTTCCAGTCGGGAAGGAAATCCGAAATTGTAGCCAGGTGCACGTCTCTGAAATAGTCCAGAATGAAGGAATTGATGACTGCAATGGTAGAGTGCTCTTCTGCAAGGGCAAAATAAAGAACCTCTTCCCTTAGCTAGCTAAGTGGCATGAGTGGAGGGCATCTTACTGCCAAAGAGGACCTGCCTAACCAAATCTGAGCACTTAAGCACCAACAAATTTAGCCCTGGAGTTTCCATGCTGTGAGGTAGACACCCTAAGTTGGGGTGCCAAAGACGGCCAGGGTCCTCCGTGCCCAAATCTGGAACCATTTGTAGGGCTAGCGATGTGTCCTTGGACAGGTCTAAGTGTGGCGAACCAATGCTGAAAGGACTGTACCAGCACTATGAGGATTAAGGATGCCTTTTCCCAGTAGATCTCAAGGAGGATCTTGTGGATAAGTGGAAAAGGTGGAATATGTACAGCATAAGAGGAAAAGGGTATCTGCAAGTGAGTCTGGGCTGTGGCTCTTGAAGGAATAGAATGGCTAGCACTTCCTGGTGCTCTGGAAGTGGCAAACAGGCCTACCTTTGGAAGATGTTGATGACAATATCTTGTCAGAAAGACCACTTGTGGCTGTCAAAAGACCTGCTGAGATGATCAGCCAGTTCATTTTGCATGTCTGGAAGATGTGATGCCTTCAAGCGTATTGAATCGCGATGCAAAGTCTCACAGCTTGAGGGCTCCCTGACACAGGGGAGAAGAGTGAGCACCCTGCTTGTTTATACAAAATATCACAGTGGAATTGTCTGGCAACACCAATACACATCTGCCCTGTAAATGGGTTTGGAATGTCTGGCAAGCAAGGCACACTGCTTTTAGCTCCCTGACCATGTGCAGCACAAAAGACCCGAGGTTGCCCCGTTGAGCTCCCCATCTCATCGCAGACACATCTGTGACTAGCAACAGCTGAGGTTTGGAGAATGGTACACATGCACAGAATGCCTGCGGGTCGAGGCACCACCTGAGGGACTAGATAACCCATGGAGAGTGTGTAACCTGCCTGTCTACATGATCCTGGCTTGGCCTGTACACTTGGACTAGCCAGGTCTAGAGAGGATGGAGCTGCAGTCTTGCATGCTGTACCACATATGTGCAAGCTGCCATATGCCCAAGGAGTTTTAGTAATTTCTGGTTGCTGCGGCAGGGAATATGTTGAGATCCTCTAAGATGACATTCATGGCCCAGAAATGAGACTCAGGCAGGAACACTCTGGAGCTCTTGGTCTCCACTTAAGCCAATTTATTCCAAATTATTTTTCTTGTGGCCCATACAATTTGGGAATCCAGAGAGTGCTTCTGAGAATTCTAGTCTCTGAGCGGGAGCTATGATTGACTTCACTTTGAGGATGAGCCTGAGCTTGAGGAACATCATAAGCATGAGGTTCACATAGTCTTCCACTTGGGCTTGAGATTGGCCTTTGGTTAGCATTTGATTCTTCTGAAGGAAGGCTACCACGACCATCATGCACTTAGTGAAAACCCGAGTGGCTGCTGACAGGCCAAAGGAGAAGACCATGAACTGACAGTATAATGTTGTTGACCACAAATTGTAGAAGCCATCTGTTCGACGGGATTACAGAGACATTCAAACACACAACCTTCAAGTCAAGGGCGACATAGCAGTCCCTTGAATCCAGAAAACGAATGACAGAAGCCAAGGAGATCATACAGAACATCAATTTCTTCATTAAGTTCTTGAGACTTCATATGTCTAAAATGGGCCTATGTCCACCTTTGGTCTTGTAGATTAGGAAATGAGAATAAAATACTCTGCCCTGAATTCCAGAAGAACCTCCTCTACTGTCATAAGTTGTAAGAGCATTTGCATCTTCTACGCTGGAAGATGCTTGTGAGCAGTATCCCTAAAGAGAGACAGACCCATGCAGAGTAGAAACACAATAGACAATTCTCAAATGGAAGGGAAGGATCAAGGTATTGGAATGGTGCAGCGTCCATAGATGTACTCAAAAGTGTGGTGTCGAAGTCAAGGGCTTAAGTCACTAGTCCCTGTGAAGTGCCTTGGCCCTGGCTCAAGGAGGACTAAGATGGATGCCTGCTGTTAGTCTTTTCCCGCTTCTGTGATGGTCCTGTCTAGGGGTAGCACCATAGGAATAGCTGGATTTTCTTTGGGGGTGCTGGTGTGTACAGATACTTAAGGGATGTCCATGAGTCCTTCCTTCAGCCTTGTGCCTGTCTGCTCTGAAAAGAGTCCTGAATAGTCAAAAGGCAAGTCCTAGGTTTGTTCTGAACTTCACAGTGCGTGCACCAAGAATCTGAGGCATACCCACCTCCGCAGCAGAGCAGTGTGGTGGCTAATAATCTGTTCTGGGGCGGGGCCACATGGCAGGGGACTCCCCTGCCCCAGGAGCA